AAAAAGTGATATAAGAAAAATTTTCACACTCAGGGACAAGACTGTCGAGGAACTATAGAGTCAAAAACTCAAAGATATGAATGCATTAACTTAGTAACCCTCACCTGAAGCCAATTATCATCTTGACTCATAATTTGCACTACATCCCCTTTCTTAACATCTATAGACAACCATCGGCAAATTCTCGTATCATCCGTATCCGAGTTATAGTCGCTGTTTACCCGATAAAATACCTAAGAGATCTAATTGCAAGTACGGTAAGAAATAAACAGAAATCAAATTAAGATTAAAAATAGAATTGGATAGAAATTAACTATAAGTAAGACTAACGGATGGAGCTCCATGAATAGCTGCTGGGACAAGCGTTAGGGTTATACGTCCTGCTAGACCAGATATTGCTGATTGATGCAGTGCAGCTTTACCGTTGACGTGAGTGATCGTATCGCCAGGATGGATGTCATGATTGGCAGAGGCGTTCACTCGTGTAACTACCAACTGTCCGGAAATTGTCTCGACTTCAATCTGCAATGCTTTGAATAACAAATTTACGAAAAACTATAGAAGAGCACAAAAATTGTAGAAATTGAGGAAAAACTGAAAGTTACTCAATTCCAACAAGCATAATTCCAACAATCCATATGATAAAATATAAAATTTACGTGTTGACGTTTGCTTCAACTTGGTTTCTTTATCGTGTGGACCTCGCCTGACTTCAAATCATGGAATTCATTTTATTAGTATTGACATAGTTAGAAATTAAAATCAAATTCTGATGTCATAATCACATTTATAGACCTGAACAATCAGAAAAAAAAATTACGGACGCTCCGGCCTTTTCCTACATAAAAAATTAAATTTCTGTTTCTTTTCTTTTTCTAAAGGTTATACTTCCAAACTCGCAGAGATTAAGACTAAGATGATAAAGCATAGGATTATAAGTACACTTGGTAGTTCAAGGCTTCTGTTCTTTTTCACCTGCTACACGTGATTCGTAATCGAGCAATATCACCGACTTGTATTAGCCTGATATCCGTCTCATGGTATATTATTTTGGAGCAAATTTACCAGATGCCATTTTATTCTCAGCGCACTTTTTCGGAATGCATAAGAAGTAGCTTCGCAGCTCAAAAACGCCTATATTACAGAATTTAATCAAAGAGATGAGCTTTGCAGCGTGTACATACTTTCCAGCACACAACCACGCAGAAGTTTCAAAAAGACAGCTAATTGAAATTTTAAAACGTTGAGAAAATTTTAGAGCTTAACCCTACTTCATGGTGATTGAACAAGAAAATGAAGGTCATGCTTGAGAGTTCCCTGGAAATATTCCAACTTATCTAAACATATATGACAAGCCTACAAGCGATAACCACAAACATCCTTACTAGGGAAAGAAGGGGAGTTCATCAAC